ATATATATATATATATATAGGTAGATAAAGAAATATATGAATATATATAGGTTTATAGATATATGTGTGTACGTACATACATATTCATACATACTTTTATATGTATATATCTATGTAGACATATAAACACATATGCGTGTGTGTCTTTATATCATAACTAATATATTTCAATTCCAACACTTTATCTTTCCAACTCTTTTATCACTAATCTCCCAGCTGATTGCATTTCTAACATCAACTAAGACTTGGAGAGATTCTTTTCATAGTCACATATCAATGAACTTGAAACCTCTCCTATTCGAACACGAGGAAATCGGGAAAGATATTCGTTTGACCTCTGGCCAATGCGTAGAAGGCGGTGATAAGAGTAACTGGCACCCCGGCACCGAAGGAGAGGGAAGGACAGTGCCAGTATAAATAGAAGCGCGAAGGAGGATACAGTCAGTCATCTCCTGGTGCTGGGAACGCCTCGCAACATGAGGACCATTGTGAGTATTCCTCTACAACAGATATGTAAACGAAGTATGATATAAATTTATATAGTTTTAGATGGAGGTACAGAAAGGCACACGCATTTAATTGATATTTATCAACTTAGTGTGTAAAATCCTTATATTTTGTACATTAGTGTTGATTTAATACTGTGTTGTCTGAACAGATTTTAGTGTCATTCGTGGCTGCGTTGAGCGTGGCAGCTGCTGCTCCTGACGGTTGCTGTGGTGGAAGCCATGGAGGCGGAGGTCACGGAGGTGGAGGATATGGAGGAGGTGGAGGCGGTGGCCATGGAGGCGGAGGAGGCAGAGGCGGCAGAGTGGTGAAAGCACAGCTGGTCGGAGTTGGCACTCTTCCCAGCACTGGTGGAGGAGGCGGTGGAGGCTCAGGAGGTTATGGCTCCCACGGAGGTGGCTCTCGAGGCGGTCATGGCAGATCCAGTGGTGCCAGCATTGTCCGAGCTGAGCTGGTTGGAGTTGGCACTCTTCCCAGCACTGGCGGAGGTGGTGGCGGAGGCTCAGGAGGTTATGGCGCCGGAGGAGGTGGCTCTCGAGGCGGCCATGGCAGATCCAGCGGTGCCAGCGTTGTCCAGGCACAGCTGGTTGGTGTTGGCAGCCTTCCCTCAGGCGGGGGCGGCGGCCACGGTTCCAATGCCATTTCCACCGGTGGTGGATACGGCGGTGGCAGTGGCTGGTAAAACGTTATTCTCGTAGAGGAGTTTGCTTCCAAAGGCGGTACTAAATACATGAATACCATATTGGTATTCAGATTGTTGAATAAGAATAAAAGATCAGAAATCTCTACACGGTTTACTTTCAGATCCTAGTAAAAAATAATGGTCTCTAAATAGAATACGTCAATGATAGTAACATAAATAAGTACAATTGTATTTTTACAACAAACTAACACGTAGGAATAATTTAGCAGTTATTGCCATTATCATCAGCATGAAAGTCCAATCTTCAAGCAATTTAAATTTTTATCTCTCGTCATTATCCACCAACGAACAGCGCCATTACAGACAAGGAAATACGTAAGTGCGGCGATTATATAGTGGGCTCCAAACAATACAATAACACTATATTGCAAAACATATATTATCACTGAAAATACCGGTAGTTAAGATCATTATGCATATGACGATAGTGATTATGATACTCATGACAAAAATACATTTTGTTGTAATTCTCTCTGATTAATGACTGTGCCATACGAAAATATATTCGCAAGCATTGACCTGTGTAACTGCTTGTGTGATTTTTATAATGTTTTACCATTTATATTGATCTGAAAAGGCGTTCATATCAAGTCCATGATCAGATCTTTGTTCAAATGGCTTGGATTTAACGATGCAGCGTTTTCAGAATTTTATTAAAACTCCTTTTTATATTTATTTTACATTATCAAAAATCATCGCATATTACTAAGCAGTCGTAGTAATACAGAAACGCCATTGTTCTTGCTGTATGTCATTAGTCTCATTACATATTTCATTCCTCAGCAATCATTATACAAAAAGTTTACACAGAAAAATGGGTTACCGACACACCCGTTTTCTTTTGATATTCCCTAAGCAATGACCTTGAGGGAATCCAACAATTTTTAATGTGTCGTTACAATAGATACAGATGCGTATTTGCATATCTAATTAATAATTGATTAATATATGAGGGTTTTTTTATCCGGAAAAAACTAGTTAGGATATACGTATACAATTCATTCATAGTGTTTATTGGTGTATGAATACCTATTTGAATATATATAACTACTTAAATTAGTAATCAATTGTTAATGTGTACTTTATTTACGGCGGTGATTCATTTCGAGGTCCAAAGTATGTAATGTCACGAAAAGAGTTATTATTAAGTCCACCAGTTAATATACCTACTTACAACCCCACGTTCACCGCAACATATTTATATGCACCCATAGATGTATACCTAGTAACATTATGAGTACCTCATAAGATGAGATCTTCTCATAAGTTAGCTATACTCTCGAATGTCTTCTCCAAATAGGTATTAATAAGATGCTTCTGCCTGACCATATTATCTCTCTCAATATGAATTCTCTATTCTGTTAATTAATTTTATACCATTTATTTGCTTCTTCCTTNTTACCCTTTCCTTCCCCCTCCCCTCCCTCACTCCTCTTCCCCTTCCTCCCATTTACCTTGTTCCTTCGCGAGGGCGTCCTACCCCTGGAGGAGGATGGTGGCGGGATGGCGTAACTCTTGAGGGGAGGCCGCCCGCGCCGCCCACGCCTCAGGCCGCCCATGCCGCGCCTGATGGTGCTTGCGGCTGCTGCTGCGGCGGCGGCGGCCGAGGCGGTGCCATGGGGCGAGGGCGAGGGCGGGGGCACGAGCACGGCCTGCTGCGGCGCCTGCCCGTCCTGCCCCTGCACGGCCTGCTCCTCCGCCGCGCCGTTGGCTTCCGTCTTGATTTCCAGGAAGCTGTGCGGCAGGACGGCCGCTTGCGCCGCGCCCTCGTCGTCCTCGGCCTCCTCCAGGATCTCATCGGCCGCGTCCGTGTCCTCCGCCTCGTCCTCCTCGAGCGCGGGCGAGGGCGGCGAGGCGGGCGGCGCGGGGGCGTCGGCGGGCACCACGTACGTGATGAGGGTGGCCGTGCGGTGCGTGGTCTCCACCCGCAGCAGCGTCCCCGCCCGGATCTCGCGGTGGAGGAGCACGTCCAGCTTGTCCACGAGGCGGCTCTGCCCGCACGCCACCAGCTTGTCCTTGATGTCCTCCTTGCTGGCGCCCCCCGGCCCGCACGACGCCACGGCCAGGCGCAGCGCCCGGCAAGTGGACTCGCTGTTCATCACATTCACCTTGGTGCGAGTGGGCCGGCGGCGCACCAGGGCCGCCTTGGACCACGAGGCGGCCACTCGGTACGACGTGGCGCCCTTATACTCCACTCGCAGCACATCCTCGGACTCAACGAGCTCGTCCAGCACCGCCTCCGTCGTCGCCTCCGACAGGAGGTGTTCGCGCCTCGCATACCAGGCGATCTTGCGAGCGCTGGGCCTGACGCGGCGAGAGCGCAGGACACGAATGGCGTCGATGATAATTTCCTTTTCCTTGTTGGTCACCATGATCACACACGACTAGCGCCCACTGCCCAAAAGACGTTGCGAACCCGGGAGAGCGGCCGGTCGCCAGTGTGTGGAGCCAGCCGGCGCACGACGACTCCTCGCTCGCTCGCGCCCCAGCTGATCTCCCGCCACAGCCGCACCCATCGCGCATGCGCAGTGGGCGTCCCCGGCACCCACCCGCGCATCCCACACCGAAATTATTCCCCATTTCGCCCCAGCGCTCGCGTGTTTTCGCTGCAGAATAACGCAAAGTTGTTCTTCACGGCATAGCTCATCCCGGGGAGGCGGTCGCAGCAAGCAGGGGCCTCGGGCCAGGGCGGCAGCGAGGCGACAATAAGCGAAAGCATCGCGCATCGCACCTCAGCCCTGGTCCGCACCGCACACGGACAAACGTGGTCCACTCTCAGCTGCGTTTAAAGTTACAAAATTTTCGCGACGATATGAGGGCTGCATCGCAAGTATTTCCTGCGTGTTTACGGCGCCCATAGGCCTCAGCACTGCCTGTTCGACCAAAGCAAGCCCGTCAAAGCCAAAGCCAAGCGCCCTGCCACGAGAACAAGCCAAGGTCGCGCTTAGACGAGCCTTTGTCGCGGACGGCGCGTTCTGTCTCATGACCGGTGAGCCTCCCCCTGTCTGCTCCATGTTCCTCTGGCCCTTTAAACTGCCTCGTTCCTCCAACGACGCCTCGCCCCGCACGCCGGCAGGCCACCTGGGAGGCTCCTGTGCAAGGGCACGAATGAAAACTGAAATATGAACAGATGACGAAGCTGTTCAATAGTACAACACGCAATGCCAATATGGAGGGGTTGCCAGATACCTGAATCTCGCCCTCCTCAACATAATTCTGCATATTGTGTGCTCGCAGCTTATCCCCTGTCACCTCTATAATTAGAAGGGGGAATCACCCAAGAGGTAACAAGCACAGGCTCATCGGCGACGGAGCCACGGCCCACGAGAGTCCCGCGCTCGGAAGTGCGTTCCTACAAAATAATTATGACGTGCATTGATAGGCAGCTGTGAAGTCCCCCGGCCCTGCTAGCCCGCATGGTAGACGCATGGCCGTCAACCAGCGTCTGCCGCCACCATCCTACACCAGAAAACATCCTGCTCTCCGACAGGGACTCCTCCTCCGCCCCTCGCAGCCCCACCGCCAACATCCCGGCAGGACCTGCAGCCACGGCAAGGCGCTGCTCACGTCTGGATTCCTCAGCAGCAGACACTAACCAGCGCTGCCAACGCCGGCAGAACCAGAACCAGCTACAAATATTACAGAATTTTTGCCTTCTTTTTCTCTCTCTCGCTTACCCACGTGTGTTCCGAGTGTCTGTAACTTTTCTCTGTATCTATTTCGGTCTTTTCTCTTAGAGTACGTGTCCGAGTCTCTCTCTCTCTCTCTCTCTCTCTCTCTCTCTCTCTCT